AAGTATAAGTGACTACAAGTATAAGCGAAATAGAGGCAATAACCGGTATAAGCGTATCAAGAAGTGAAAGCGTTATCAAGTAGGAGTTTTAAATAAGTAAAGCGGAGCAGCATGAATAAACAAGTACAAGTATACGTTGTAAAAGAGAATTTGACGAAAACCTTGGAAAACCTTTATACTTAGAAAAATTAAATTTGGTATCCTTTGGTAAAACGAGTTTGAAAGCCTTTAGAAATTCTTTGAAAACTTTCCATAAACTAGTTTAAAATGTACTTTGGCAAAGCAGTATAAGTGAGAGTTTTGAAATAATTGAAAACCTTTTTGAAAACCATTATAGTGTCCTACTCGGTAAAACAGTGTACAGTGTGGTAAAATCTTGTGCATGCGGGTTATCAATCACATATGATTGATATGATAACTGGCATGTTTAACTTGTATCCCCCCCTATAAAACATGTAAAAACATGAAAAAGTTCATTCAGGGGTATGAACTCACCTGTAGTGAGTGTTCTAATGACAAAGTTGGATTTGATGCTAGGTGTCAAGTGGTGACTTGAGTACACACGCGAAGCCTATTTAGCATATATTGGCACATGTATGGATATAATTAGTGTTATGAACAACTAATTGATGATTTTGGGACCATCATAGGGACTAGTAAACACTTATAATGAAGTGTTATAATCATATATGATTGTATGAGGGTTTATAAGGCTATACAAGAGGGTGTATGGCCAAAATACACACTATATGTGTGTGTGCAGCCAGGTGTGCGGCCTAGCGTGCTGCCAGCACTTGTGTGCGGCCCTGTGTGCTGACAGTACTTGTGTGCGGCCAGATGGTGTTGTTGATGTTCTTGGTGTTCTTGGTACCTTTTTATGAAGATCTTCAAGGAGAATGGATGATACTTGAGAGGATCTCGTGTTCTATGCTTGAACAAATGAAGGAAGTGTTCAAAAATGATTTAAGTGTGGCATATATAGGTGGAGTGTGCGGTTGGGAAAGGTGTGAGGCCGCAAACAAGAGTGTGTAGCCGCACACTCAAGTGTGTGGCCGCACACTCCATGTGTGCAAACTTCGTCTAGCCAAGGAGCTTTCCATTATGGATCTGGCATCCAGTTCTCAGTAGCATCCGAATTCGACCCCTTTACGGCATCCGGTCAACCATTCAACCCGTAGACATAATGGTACATAGGAACAAGCCTATATCTTGTTCCCCCGGCAGGGCAATCTGCGATCCAGAACTTTGGATTGCATCCAAGCCTACAACAGTATTAACCATACATCTTGCAGGCGGCCATTTTTCATGTGAAGCTTTCAATGTTTGTTTCTTCCTATGATTAGGAAAATTTGGCTTTTGAGGAACAAAATCAATTTTTGGTTTTGAAACAAATGATTCAGCATAGGAAGTATCAACTGTTGATTTAAAATGTTGACGTTGAGAAAAAAAAACTTTGGTGAATTAGAATTCAATGAATTATCTGAAATTTTTCTTGAAATGTTAGGGTTTGACACTTTTGAAAACTTTGGTGTTGTTTTCACTTCAAACTTAGAATGAGTTTTTGGACGATAAACTTGTTCTACTTTTGAAAAAGATGAATTTTTCACTTTGAAAATATATTTTGGTGATTTTGATTCAAACACATTTTTGTTTGGATGAGCAGGATTTTTCTTTTTGTCTGAATTCACAGACTTAACTGGTTTCGACAATCCAGTTGACGTTTTTCGCGACTCGATTGTTTGCCAAAATATTTTCTTTCTTGCTTGTCTTTTTGAAACTTTATTTTCTTTCGAAAATCTTTCAATTTATTCTTTGAATTATTTTGAATTTAATTTTACCCCACTTTTCGTTTCCTCAAAAATTGGTTTGGTGACTTCTTTCTCAAGTTTTGTTTTTTCAACCCATTTTTTCTAAGATATTTATCTTTGAAAAACATATGAATTCTTTGTTAGGTTGTTTTCAATTGTGCTTTGATTTGCGAAGAACCCTTCATCTGATGTTTTCAAATTGTCTTGTTCCACCAATTTCATGAATTCTGGTTTAACATTTTCAACATTTCCAGTTGTTACGAACACTTGGTTCGGAAACACAACATTATCTGTACACTTGAAAATTGGATACACCATACACCTGGTCAACTACAATTCGAGGAATTTCTTCATCCTTTGAAAATACCTTTAACTTCGAAAGTTTCTCATCTTTTTCATCATCACTATCATCTGTTTGACTGTCTCTAATTTCCACGAAGTCCGAATCACAAACTTTCGAAGTTGAGGGTTGATTAGTATCATTCTTAACAAACAAATCATTAACTTTTTCTTTCCCTTTAGATGAAGATGCAACATTAATAATAGACAACTGAGAACAATCAACATCCTCAAGATCACTAATTTCACTGATATTATCAGAATTATCTTCAATATTAGCAAAATTAGATTGAGCATCAAATATTGAAGTTTCAGTCTTTTTCAAAATGTGAATTTGTTCAGACTTAGTCAAAGTATCATTTACAATTTCAACTAATTCAGCAGCATCAAGAGATTCATCTACTTTGGCTATTCCATATCTATATCTATCATCAGGAACTTTGTCAAATTCAGCTATTTGTTTCTCACAATCATACGAATTCTTATCTACCTTAGCTCTTTCGTAAGCTAAAAAAGGCAATAACTTTCTATGTTTTTCTTTACTTATCTCACAAGAATGATGTAACTTTGTTAATGTCCCATACAATCTCTTAGATGATTTACAGTAAATGTTTCTTTGTGCTAATAACAATTTTATTTCACTTGAAAAATTATCCCTATCAACCATAATGTTCGTAATCTAAAGTTCTAAACAATCTACTTTTGTGTTTTTCAAATCTAACTTCATCTCTGTCTCTAACAACTGCATAGAAAGCTTCTTAGCCTCATTGCTAGAAGACACCACCATTGAATCAAAATAAGTAACAATTTCATCAAAAGATACCAATTCAGAATTATAAGCATGTACTAGAATATTAAAAGATTCAAGAATGTTACATACCTTTGTTGTCATTGGAGATTTGTCTGCAGCCTTTGATACAAATCATCTTCCTTTTACTTCGTATGCTTCTTCATCAGATTCCTCCTCCATCTTCACAAACATTGCTACATGTGTTTGATTTTGCATCTCCTCATCATCTGATCCAGATGAACAGACTTGATACGTTCCATCATCTTCTTGTTCTCCCATAGCAACCAATGACAAGTTTTTCGCCTTCGCACGAACTTCTTCCAGTCTTTCAGCATAATAAGCTTCATCTTTTACCTTATTCTTCTTCTCATCTTTCTTCCTCAACATGCAATCATTGGCTAAATGATTGGCACTGTTATAGTAGTGACAGTCTACTCCAGCATCTCCTTTCAACTTCTCAATCTTTCCCTCAACAAGCTTCATATCCTTCTTCTGATCCTTCTTCTTCTCATCACTTGCAGTTTTAGTCACAAAACTTCCTTTTATCTCAGTTGACTTGATCTTCGAATTGAATGGATTTTTGAAGAGCTTTTTGACACGATTGTTTGAATAAAATGCTATCTCTTCATCATCAGAATTCATGATGAATCCCTCTTCTCCATCACAATCACTTTTCTCATGAACTTCTTTCTCAGTCATTTTAGAAACCAAAGCCAGTGGACCTCCTAAACTCACCTTCGTTTCTTCAGCAATTTCGTTCACTTCATTTTCTTGTGATTTTAATTGATTGTACACATCATTCAAAGTTGACGTATCAAAGCTCTGTTGATTTTTGACCATCATGCTTACATTTCGCCACTCCTTTCTCAGACCCATAACAAAGATAAGATTGAACTCCTTGACTGATCTGGTGATTCCATATCGGTTGCATCGATAGATCAATTCATTCAGACGATCGTAATATGCCTTAATAGTTTCACTTTCTTTCTGTTTGAAGTCTTTCAATTCAACCAAGCATTGTTTCACAGAATTAACTCTAGTCTTCTCACTTCCTTGAAATTTCTCCTTTAGATTGTTCTAGATTTCCTTTGCAGTTTTACAACTCCTCACATAGTTGTAAACATTTGGAGGCAAAGCTCCTTGCAGCTCTCTCATGCATCTCTTCTCCAACTTTTTCTTACGTTCAGTTTGATTCTCTACTCTAGAACTTGCAGAAGATGCTTCAAGTAGTTGAACATTCGATGGAGGATTGATATTACCAGAAATACAAGTCCACAATTCTTCATCTAAACCATTGAGATAATCCTCCATTCAATAAGCCCATTGATCGTAATTCTCAAGGATTAGCACTGGAAGTTTTTGTAAATGACCTTAACAAATGAGAGAATGAAGTCATGGAATTAAGATTGAATGACGCCATTGTTGTACAGAAGAAAACTTAGAGAATTTTGAAGAAAATTTGAGATTTGTAACAACAAACTAGTTGATTCAAATTGAAACAACTAGGAGAACACTCGATTCAACAATTCAAGTGCAGAATCGAATCACAGACTTAGATCCAATGAACTTTTCACTTTTCAAAAAGTGCGGAAACTTTTAAACCAAAAAATTGATTTAAAAACTTTTGAAAGGGTGAAAATTAGATCAGAGATATGATTCCTACTCTGATACCAAATGTAGAATTTAAGAATCGAGTTTGAATATTAATCAGAGTTTGAAAATCAGGAATATATGTAAGATTGAACACCGATGTAAATAAGATCTTGATTTAGCTCGATATTATGCTTTAGGTTTACAGAGTGCAAAGTACACAAGATTGTAAAAACCTTATCTAACTCTAGTAAAGACTCCTATTTATAGGACAATAAAAGCGTACAAAAAGTATACTAAGGACTAGACATCTAAACTTTGAATAATATGCCTTAGTAAAATAGATAACAAAACATACGAAGAGTACATATAAGACTTCAACTCTTTACAACCAAACTATCCTTACACTGGCTACAGATACAGTCGTACGGACTTTACGAGGACGAAGACCCGCATCATCAGATTCTGTCTCCTCATCCGATGACGTCACCACGCGCAAACTTTGCCTCTTCCGAATAGGGCACCACCTCTTCCTGCTTGTACCCCCACATGCAAACCATAAGGAACAAAAAATGGAGAACGAACTAGGGAAACGACCACAACGGTCGGTTGGGAAAGAGATGCAGGCCCACTAGAACCTATATTTCCACCTTACACCAAGAGCAGTCCTGCAAGCTCTCACATGCGTCATTCAGACACAGGAGGAGGAAGAGCCGCTACGATATTGATGTACTAATGGCAAAGCTTACCCTAATAGTGACCACACAAGGCCATTTCCAAACAATTATCGGCTTCAGCACCTGTCAAAACAAACGCCAAAAGTAAGATCTCAAAGGCCCACAAGATACTCTATTCTCACTATTTCTTCAAAAAAATTATAAAAAATAGGGGGGGTGAAGGAGATGAGTTAAGACTGTATCTCACGATGAAGATCTACGACACTTTCCTGCGAGCCCTCCAGGTAGCACTCATACCGACCGCTGCAAGAATGAAATCTTCCCAGTTCTTCACAATGATAGTCATGTTTCCAAGACGCTTACCAAGAGTCAGATTACTCCCAAACAACTTGGGACGACGGTTAGAAAAGTCTCGGGTTCTACGATACCTACTCCCCACAATGTTTTGGTTAACCCAAAGCCACTGTCGTTGCCAATTTTTCCTCGGAGCGTCTTGTTAAGAAATCATCTGACGAATGCCTCTTCTCTTCGCTAAAGTGCAGACCCCGAAATTCGTAGTCAAACAGAAAAAGTAACTAAAAACCCAAAAATTTGGTACATAACCCAGAGATTGACAAATCAGTTCTAAACCCGATGATTTTATTAATAGCGCTCGAGGTCAACTCGTCGACGGAAAGGCGATAGTGGTCCAAAATCATGTTGAAGAAATTAGATATCGCCAAGCGTAACCCTGTTTCAAATAAATGGATTGGAACCCCCACTTTCTCTTGAGGTCGATCGTAGATCGATACCCCCTTTGCCGGAATCATTACACCATGCTCCGGTGAGAAGCCTAAGCGATCTTGCAAAAATTGGAACTCCTCAGCAGTAGGGTCTCTACCGTAACAGTCCATTGTCGAGAAAAGGATGAACAATAGAAGAGGAAATTAAAAAAAAATACCATGATTGATACAACAAAGCCAAAATAGAGATGTAAGTATGAATAGGCTGGGGGGAGAGGGAATTTTAGAGGCGAAACTGGCGTTATGAACTGTTTCCTAACAGGATTGACATGCATTGACAGCGTTGCCTAAGGCTTGTCAAGTGATAGAAGTAATCCTACTCATACACATGGTAGTATGTAAACTCGAACGGCGACGTTGTCTATGACATCCCCATTTTCACGGCCAGAAAGTACCGATTTTGTTTATGCTTTCTAATAAAATCAGAGTAACTTTTTAAAGAAAGTGTTGCGGAATTTGTTCCCAAATATATATATATATATATATATATATATATATATATATATATATAAGAATTTATGAAAGCATTTCCGAAGAAATGTAATTTCATTACATTACGAAACTCAGGATGTCATTGTCAATACAGATCGATAGCATAAACAAAACGTCATAGGCCTCAAAAAAATATAGGCCTTACAACATTCTCTTTATTTTCTACTGACCTTTGAATCCATAATCTCTCATCAAATCATCCAACTATGCTCTTGCCACTACCTCTAATACAAGAAACTGAGTGGGCCAGGCTGGGGAGCCTGCTGAGCATATAGGGTTTCAACCCACAATAAATAAGTTTATTATTTTTAACAATCATTCAACCCGATTACCCATACCCATTATCCTCACTTTACGTCTATAAAGCATCTATAAGGGACCTATCCTAAGGAATTTCATCGGGATGGACACTGCTCCTAAGGGGATTCCTCAGCCGTATAGGTACGTAACGCAACCATGGGGGAATGTAGTACACCGGTGAACACATCGTTCAAAAAATACCTACAGGTTGCGTGCCTTCTAGCGTTCCACTGGACTTCCTAGAAAAGTATATGGTCGTCATCTATACTTCGCTAGATGACTAGAACATCGTCAATGTCGAGGCTACTCATCATTTTATTTCATCACACACCAACTATTTCATCTACCCATGTTTTACCCAACATATTTGTAGATATAAAATACATATACAGTTCAGTTCTGAAAAACAAAGTTTAAATCCTTCATACAAAATAGATCAAAAAATATAATATATATATATATATATATATATATATATATATATATATATATATATATATATATATATATATAGTTTAGATCTGAAGGAAAAAGTTTATCTCTGAAAGAAAAAATTTAGATCTAAAGGAAACAGTTTAGATATGAAAGAAAAAGTTTAGATCTGAAGGAAAAACTTCAGATCCGAAAGAAAAGGTTTAGATCTGAAGGAAAAACTTCAGATATAAAAGAAAAGGTTTATATTTGAAGGAAAAAAGTTCAGATCTAAAAAGAAAGAGGTGTAGATCTTTCGTCTAGCATACATCTCGGGTAAATAGATAATATATATATATATATATATATATATATATATATATATATATATATATATAATACTTCATATCTATGTGTAAGATGAAAGTGACTACATAATCACTTGATAAGGTGATGATTCGGACATCACTTCGCTTCTTAAAATAATCTCCTTTGATGAAATCGGGAGGTTTTCTTGAAAACCGGGCTTTGCGGAGGCAGAGTTTATAAACCAAAAAACTCTTTTTCTTGGAGCTTTTGGCACTCCGAGGATTTTTCTAGTGTTAGGGAGGTTTCCTAGGCTTCGAGGTGGTTTTCGGAGGCTAGAGAGAGAGAGTAGAGAGAGAAAGTGTGGCTTAATAGTGTGAAAATGAAGGCTACACCTCGCACCCTTTGATAGACCGAAGTTGCTGACTACGTTGCGCATACCTTCGGTGGTACGTTGGGCGTTCCTTGGAATGCTGCGCGTAACAGGGTACGTAGTGCATTCGTACCATTTGTGTGATAACTATCGGATGGTGCATCGTGGCTCAGTTCGGACCTAGTGTTGTGAGAACACGGGGCGTTCCTCCTCTACGCGCGACATTCTCTTCAGACAGTCTCGCAATTTGCACATTTGACTTCAAAAATTCATAAATCTCGCATACAAGCTTTGTTTTTGATGTTCTTTATATTTATGCGTAGGTAGAGAGGTACTCTACAACTTTCGTTTAGACTCCATCGACTAATTTTAAATATATTTTTAAAGTTATACTTTTAACATGCCGAGACAGAAAAAGTCCATTAAAAATTCCTAACTTTTTCATCCGATGTCCGTTTTCGTCTGTCTTTTTACCGTTGAGCTACTTATAACAAGATATTCGATTCTCGTTAAGGTTGTGTCGGCCGAAAACCGTTCGATCTTGTGACAACCTGATATTTCAACTATATGTAAACGACCTAAAAAGTCACGTATTATAACCAAGTTCGTTATAATAAAATTAACTTTGAAAGTAAAATATCCAAAAATCACTAATTAAATTACCTATTATGTTAGATGTCAATAAACCGTGATCGTACGTAAAAAGAACGCCCAAATCCGACTTCGTATAAGAAAGTTAGGAATTTTCCAAGTTCGGCTTAGCAACGGAGAGCTAAAAACTTGAAACAGAGAACGAGCAGCTTTTGACCAGAATGACCTAAACGAGAATCGAAGGTCTCGTCAATGGTTTTTCAACGGTAAAAAGTCTGGCAAAAACAGACATCAGATAATGAAGTTATGAATTTTTAAAGAAATTTTCTTACCGCGACCTTTTAAAAATAAATAATAAAAATAATTTATTAATTTGCCGACGGGATCTAAACGAAAGTTGTAGAGTATGGTCTCACCTACGCGTGGATATAAAGAACGTCGAAAACAGAGTTCGTATGAAGAAGATACAAATTTTTGAAGTTTATTAAATAATAAACATATAAATTTTAATGAAAACTTCGGTATTATCCGAAGGCTGAGTCACGCGAGTCACGCGAGTACGCCCAGCGTACACGGGTACGCCCAGCGTACTCGAGGCCTTGGCCTCGGATCGTCCATATCGCGCCCTATGCGAGGCTATGCCCCGTCCCATCCGGAGTCCGAAGCAGTCGAGGATGCGCTCATGCGTGACGGGGACACCCAGTGTGCTCGTACGCCCCGCGTACCAGGGCAGTTCACACCCCCTATAAAAGGGATGCGAAGGTTCCAAAGAAAAGGGTCTTTCTATCTCATTTCTCTTGCGTTTTTTCCTCGTTTTCCGTATCTGTGCTATCCCGAAGTCCCGATCACATTGCTCAAGTCCCGAGGGTCGTTTGTGCTCCCGAGAATCCCGAGAAAATCCGCTTTCTCGAGTCGAAATTATGTCCGGTTTTCATCCCGCCTTCTCCGATCTTTCAAGTGAGTTCATACCCCTATAATTCACACTTTTAAATGTTTTATGAGTACTTTTATATGCTTTTAAGGGGGGGGGGGGATACAAGTAAAACACTCGATTATTATTGTGTGTAATATACACTTTCACTATACGCGTTTTATCAACGGAATCATATGCGATTTATAACTATTATAGGGAAACTCTCATATGTAAATTATACCACGATAACGTTTTATCTTTTGAAATAAGAAATGATTTATGTATTTATGTAAATCAGCCACTTTGCTTATGCTATATTTATGTGTGTCGGTTTTGATACTACAAAACTATACTTTTCATAACAAGTGAACATTTTCACTAGGAATTACTATACTAACGAAACGCACTTTTAGAAAACTATAATAGGTATAGTTTTACGAGAATACTACGAACTTTTACATACATGGAAATACTATTTCAAGAATTTACTTTCACATACAAGGACAAACGAACATTTTCACACGTAAATCTGTTTTATACTAAGTTTTGTGAGACATTAACTTCACGTACGTTCGAGTACACATTTCAAGTCCTGTATTATATACCAGAATCCCTTGGAGGGGGAGCATGGTGTTTGTGTATAGATCTACACGGGATTGACAACCCCGCACCCTGACTGTTAGCTACAGTACACCATTTGGGGTGACAAATGTCAGAACATTCCAACGTCTGAAGAACGTTGCTTATAGGCATTCCTTGTCAATAACATGGTTATAAAACTCATATAGAGTATTAAAAACACATTGATTTACGGGGGATTTCAGATATAATGGAGGTTTTATACATACATAAATTCATTTATTTTATGCATGAAAAACCCAATTGTGATATAAGTTTGGAACTTCTAACCACTACTCATAGATGGAAAAACATCAACTTTTTAACATATATTGTTCTTGATTTAAAGCTACGTTTATACCAGTAGGAAATATGGGATTTTCTAGGGACTAACAAACAAAAACGAACCATTTCATTTTCATACAAATACTATAATTACGTGCTTATGAAACTCACCAGCTTAAATGCTGATCTACTCTTTCAAAACTACTCGTATGTCCCAGGGACTCAGTAATTACAGATACTGAACAGCTTTTGAAGAAGGAACGTTGCGGCACTAGTTTAAGTTCATATTTTGGCATCATATTGTAATTGGTTTTGAACATGTACTCTTTTAAACAATGTAAACTTTCAATTATATATATGATGGTTGTCTTGCTTTCTTTACTATGTATTCATTTGTTACATTACCACATGAAGTCATCCGCCCCCGAACGTTTCCGCCGTTCCAGTTTGGGGGTGTGACAGATTGGTATCAGAGCAATGTTTATAGTGAACTAAGTATATCGAACCTCATAAGATATACAAACTATAAATGCTTAGGGACTCAAAGTCTCTGACAAAAGTTTTCACACCTAAAATCCTTATTTCATTTAAATAGATTATTATAGGTCATGAAAATACAAAATACATGCATACAACGACATATTTTCATGATGAGAACTATAAAAAAAGTATTAAGACGAGTTGGACACTACGATTAGTTCTCAAGATATGTAATCAAATTTGGGACGAATATAGCCTGATCAACTATATTTATCCGAAATTAGACTAACGTATATCGAGGAATGATCGTAGTGAGCAACAAGTCAAAACTTACCAAAATGG